AGTTGATAGATATCCAATAGATCTACCATTAGTAGATACAGATGATTTCATGCGACTTGAGATTAGAAGTAGAGGCCTGCACGGGCCGGGCCGAAATTAGAAAATTTTAAAAACCTCAAAATTGCGGGCCTGGTGTGTTAAGAACATAGTAAATTGCGGGCTGAACTTTTAAAAACATAATAAATTTTATTTTGCGGGCCGGCAAAAGTACAAATTTTTAGGCCCGTGCAGGGCTCTAATTAGAAGTAATCGAATTTATACCCGGCTTATTCGATTTTATTACAATCGACTAAATCTGATTAATTTATTTATTATAATCGGATTTATCCGCGAAATTATGATACGTATAACACGATGAATCGTATTATGATTAAATACCCCGTACATTTGGTTAGGGACATGGTCCGAACAGTCAGCAATGACAACTGATAATTAATCGGTATATAAGTACATCAGTGCATGCATAGAGATTATCTCGCGCGAGATAAACCTAGCATACATATTCTACATATCGATATTGCGCAATTCGCTTATATAAATCTCACATGAAAAATTTGTATTTTAGTATATATTACAGTCCATACATATATTTATTAAATTTACATACGTAAAAATGGCGTAATCATCTCACACGAAAGTGGTATATCTCTATGCATCATATCGATTTAGAAATACTATATTAAGGTGAATCAGTAAGTCACTGGTTCTTTTTCCTTAGAATTCGATATACGTACGTACGTACGTACGTACGCATTCGATATATAAAGATACATACCTCGTACAGTCATAGTAGGCATAAGTGGTACAATAATGAAAGAACATTGAGTTGGAAAAACATACGTACAAAACAAATAGGGGAATATCACCATAATTATGGGGGGTACCTTATACGGCGTTTTACGGTATGTACGTAGGAATAATACTTATTGGATTAGGTAACTCCAATACCTAATACATACGTAGCGATAGGGCACAGCATATTTTAAGGGGCTTGTGTGTTTGAGGCTTAATTTGTAAGTAATATAATGTAAAGATTTTACCAAATTAGTGTGGTGGGAAAAAACAGTTTAGCCTCCTAAGACAATTGATAGTGATTATATCATCTATGTGTGTGATCAGTCATAAGAATAATTTAATGTTAATGTTAATTAAAGATTTAAAAAGTACATACGTATGTACGTACTTACCCCGGATAGCGATAGGGTCTATTGACTATAATTTACCTGGAAACAAAGGTAACAAAAGGAGTTGAGCCAATTTTGAAATCCAGCCTAGAGTGTCCAGGGGACTGCGGCGGCAAAATCTGCGCAGAATTTGTACTGAATTCTGCGAGCAGGATAATAAATGATTGGAGAACATAGTCTATTGTGATAAAATTAGAATTTTCTTTTTGTTGTGATTTTGATGTGATTTTGTTTTTAAAGTATTATTTATATGCCGCCGCAGAATTCGCAAATCTAATGGCAATCGCAGCAGAATTTGTCTGTTAAGGCAGCAGCCCCCTGGACACTCTAATCCAGCCGACTTTAAAAAAAATTTAATGTAGTACAAGATTTTAATATATTTAACACAAAAGTACTACATAGAGATAGCGATAATATTGGTACATGCCATACATTGGTTCTACGTAGAAATCTAGAGTCGTTTGTATATAGATTCACAACGATAAGACGAACAAGTATCTGCTGAAATCAGATGTTAACAATTACATTTACTGTGCAATATTTAAGATTGACTTTTTAGACTAGACAAGTTCCTTTGTTTTATTTTATATATTTATTCAGAGTGCTAGAAAAAAAATGGATTTGTAATTAAGCACATAAATCATATAAAATAAAAACTACCAATTTAACACACTGCATTTTCTTTGAACAATATCTTAATTCATCTCAAATATGATGATTACGTATTGGTATAGTGGTACTAAACTAATTTCATATCGATACGTCTTTATCGTTATACTGCACATCTCTCTGATTTGCCGGACTTTGTCGTCATAGACCAAATATACCAACTTCTCGGCTAAATACGTACCAACGGATCTAGCCATAAACAAATCATTATTATGTATGGAATCCCGATTAAGGTATAGTTAAAATTTTCATGTTTCTGTTTTGTTCGAAATACAATCATAAGCCACGAGAATTTGAGCACAAAATTAGTGTTGATTTCATTTACAGTAACAAATCCTTCCAAAAACAAGATATGAGTAATTTATTGTACTATACTAATTATTCCTGTTTACATCAACAATAAATGCTTTATAACTGACTTAATTCACGAGTGTATTTTCAAAGTTAAATTTCTCTACTTTTTTTTTTTATTGCAGTGTTCCTCAAATAAATAATAACTTATAAAAATCTTTTTCTGTACCTATTTTTACACACTTTTAAATATTATTGTGGAAATATTGTTTACAGGAAACGTACATTATACGTCTTTGTACTACATTAGCGTTAATTTAAAAATTTATAAAAACAAGGTTTGTACGATAGTATCTTATTCGGGATTTATCAAAATTTATAAATACTCAGTCTTTATAATATAAATACTTGAATATTTATAGAATTACTTAATTTGGTCTGTAATTTTGTATTTATACGCCAGTATTCATACGCCAGTTATCTGTTCTTTACTCTATCCTTTCCCTTTTGGCAAAATGAGAACGTTGTATAATATCTCGACAACATCTTCGTCTCATCAGCATATTCACTATGCTAAAGAGAACAAACTAAAATCATTGATCAAACTTGAAAGAATTCTTCCTCCTTCTTCAACAAACCTAAAGTTAGATTTAGTGGAACCAATTTTGTTTCTCAGAGGAATCCCACAAGAATCTGTAGGTTGTTTCTTGAGAGGCAAATTAATTCTGAACTTGAGTAAACCTACAAAGATAAAGAAAATAGAGATGAAGTTTGTTGGAAAAATAAAAACCTTTTGGCCCGAAGGAAAGGTTTATGCTGGTATGCTTTTGTTAACAGTTTTTGTTTATTTGTGATTTGCCTTTTTATGAATATCTTTTTATTTTTTTTATTAGGTTCTGGCATGAATGGAAACGATTTGTGTGAAGAAGACGAAGTCATATCGCACAATTGGACATTTTTGTCATTCCCAAGAGGATCCACCTCAAGATTTTTTAGTTCAGGTCCTTCATTTCAATTATTGGATGCCGGTGCCCATATTTACGATTTCGAATTATACTTGCCCGGTAATCTGCCCGAAACAATACATGCTGATCGTGGTAGAGTCTCTTATAAAATTGTTGCACGCGCTGTACGTGCGGGATTACAAACAAATCTTAATGTGTCACAGCGCGTGACCATAATACGAACAATATTTGATGAAAGGAATGGGGAAGGAATAGTCTATGCAAACGACTGGAGAAAAACTTTAGGCTATGAAATAAATTTGTCAAAGAAAGGATACATGCTTGGTGAATCAATGCGAATTGATTTGAAATTTAATCCTCTTATTCGAGATGTACAAATTATTTCCATCCAGTTAAAAATTTTTGAAGAATCTATTTATAAATCTAATGGTCAAAAAGTTACTGAATCCCAAACTTTTAACGCATTTAATTGTCGATTTGATGACCCCGCTATCTCCAAAACTATTGGTGAAGATGGAAATATTTATTGTCACATCACGCCTCGAATGCCAGAATGCACCGGTCCGATTCATTATTCATGTAAATCTTCTGGAATAACCATAACGCATAAACTAAGATTTCTTTTCACGGTAACGACTCCAGTTGCTGGTAGCTCTAAGAGCAAAAGGAATAAATTTGAAGTCAATATGCCAGTTACTATACTTTCATGTATATGTGCCGATGATTTACCAACGTATGATGAAGGTGAATTCATTAACGGGTCATTGCTTCAATATGGCAATGATTTAGTAACTTTTACGGCCATCCGATCTCAACAAGATTTATTTTTGAGAGATTTACCGCCAGACTATGAAAAAATTTATTGAAATAAATAATGATGAGCTCGGTCTTATTCTAGACCATTTAGTAGTAGTTTATCTTAAGCATATATTTAATTTTAATTATGTTATTTTTATGTATAAAAGAGCTATCAAAAAAATTAATTATTATAACGATAATTATAAGTGCTATCACTATACTTTATCTATATCTGTATATATAGATATCAAATTTTCATTTTACATATCTTTAACTTTATATGCGCTTGTATAAATGTATTTTGCTGAAATTAAAACAATTGTGACAATTTGTTCATATTAATAAAAAAAAATAGGGGTTGCGGAGAATTAACTTTTATATTATAAAATCTATATTAAATTTATTCCTAGAGGTATCTAGATATATATGTCGTGCGTCAAATTCTAAGAGACGTAGATTTAAAACCGAGTTATGTCAGAATGAAATTTGGTTCTGAGATACGTCAAACCAAGATTATCATTTACGCGATATGTAATAATAATTAACAATTATTGTGTATTTCGTGCCGAGTTAAACTATATAAATATTCATCCACTATACGCAAACTTTTTATAATCAAAAATTCTAAAAATTAAACTTCATTTCACTACGTTATCGATGAAATACTTGAGATTAGATAATATTTTAACTGTCAAATAAGTAACGCTAAAACAGAACGTTAGCATGCTTGTAATATCAACAAATATCGTTGTAAAATTTGTCGTTGAGGGTGGAAGTAAACGAATTATTATGTAGGTAATAACAGTGTTTTATTAAATTATTATTGCAATTAGAGTATTTACTGCAGAAAATAATATGTTCTATTCAAAACTAGTTACGATATAACGAAATATTTCGGTCACACGCCCAATCCGGCATGTTATAAATTTAAGAATCCAAAGTTTTTGTTTTTCTTAGTATCACTTGTATAAATCACTTTAATTCAAATTTCAATTTGATGCAACTCAGTTTAAATCTACGGTGCTGATCCGGATCTACCCGATAAAATATTTGATAAAAATTCATGTGAAAATATCGAACCAAAAATCTGATCATGGCGGTCTTTAAATCTTTTAATCTTTATAATTTTTATTTAACCAAGGACCTAACCAATCGAATTAATAAGTCATCTTTATCTCATCGAACTTGGTTTACTAGCAAAATTCTTTTCGGTACAGCTTGTGTCCATCAAAAGATTTTATATACTTCACTTCCTTCATCCAGATCTCAAAAGTCTAAGCAATATTTAGTGTTTGATAATAAAACATCCTTTAAGGATTTTCTACAAATAACTTCGTCATCAAAAGCTCAAAATCATGATTTATATAAGAAAAAAGATAATAATGATTTAATAGGAATAGCGGATCAGATTCCCTATTTGAAAAATGATATCAAAACATTAGGGATAAATACAAAATATTTTATAGAAGTTTATGGATGTCAAATGAACGTTAATGATACTGAAATTTTAATGTCAATAATGAATTCTTCCGGATATCAAAAAACTGATCGTTTAGAAGATGCTGATATTATATTTTTGGTTACGGTAGTAACGAAAAAAAACACTTTTTCAAATAAATCCTTACTGTATTTTATTTTAATTTTTCTGACTTGGTTTGTTTATAGTGTGCTATTAGGGATAAAGCTGAAAATAAAATTTGGCATCGGTTAAATGTATTAAAAAGTATGAAAAAAAATCAAAAGCCATTAATCGGTGTATTGGGCGTAAGTTCTATTTTCTTTAAAATAATGGTATCACAATTTCATAGTAATTCGCTTATTATTTATCAGTGTATGGCAGAACGTTTAAAAACAAAATTACTCGATGCTGATAAAATGGTTGATATTGTTTGTGGTCCTGATGCGTATCGCTCAATTCCTCATTTGTTATCATTAGCTATTCAAACTTCTGAGAGTGTTGCTAATGTCATGTTATCAGCTGATGAAACTTATGCTGATATAATGCCAGTTAGGTTGCATCAAGGCAATGTTAGTGCATCTTTAAGTGTTATGCGGTTTGTATAAAATTTAAACCTGTGTGCATGAATTTGTTTTTAAACCCCATTTTTTTCTATGTGTGTATACTTTTCTATCATCAGAGGTTGCAATAACATGTGCTCATTTTGCATAGTGCCTCATACAAGGTACTATTTTGTTTTAATTGTCATTCAATCTACACATATGAAAAATTATATCTGATGCACTGTTTTTTTATTTAATTAACTTTAGAGGTAAATAGTAATAATAATAACAGTAATTATACAATTTATTAAATCATTTAATTTTGTTAATTCAACCTAAAATAATCACATAGGTATTGAAAGAAGTCGTCCCTTGTATCCATCTATTGTTGAAGAGATCAAAACTCTAAGTGATCAGGGTGTTAAAGAAGGTTAACATTTTTTAAATTGTGACTTATTTCACATTTCTATGATTATACTAATTACTATATATTAAATTCAGTTGTTCTTCTTGGGCAAAACGTTAATTCATATCGAGATACAAGTGAATATGACTTTTATAAACCACTTGGTCTTGGTAATCAACTTAGTAACGATGGATTTAAAACTATATATCGTCGAAAAGAGGGTGGTATAAGATTTACTGAATTGCTTGACCATGTATCCAAAATTGATCCAGAGGTATTTCATTTTACTATTAGTCATTTATTTTTTCATTCCATCAAATCTTCCTAATTATAAATTTTGAATAAAAGATGCGAATACGTTTTATATCACCTCATCCAAAAGATTTTCCAACCGACTTATTGAAACTAATCGCAGAACGACCGAACATTTGTAACCAAATCCATCTACCAGTACAATCTGGAAACACGAAAGTGCTAGAACGGATGCGGCGTGGATATTCACGTGAGGCGTAAGCTTTGCGATATTATCAAAACCTGCATTTACACATAATACAGTTGATACTGTCTAATTCTCTGTTAAATCTATTATATAATTGCATCCTACTATTATTGTAAAAAAACAAATATTTTAATATTTTATACAACTAGACAGATAGACAGTATCAGCTGTATTTCCAAATTAATTTCAATATCTACAACAAATTTTGATATTGATAAATCTTTCAGATATTTAGACTTAATTAATACCATCCGAGATATAATACCTAATGCCTCTATTAGCACGGATATCATAACTGGATTTTGTGGTGAAACAGAAGAAGAACATCAAGATACTATAAGCCTAATGGAAATTGTAAGTTGTCATTTTGAAAATCTCTAATTGAAATTCTCTAATATATTTATAAATCGTTATTTTATTATTTTGATAAGGTTAAATTTGATATGGCATATATGTTTGCATATAGGTAAGCAAACTCTAATTATATTGTTGTGTCAAATTAATTAATAAAATTTATTTTTTTAATTATTCATAAACTCAATATATAAACAGTATGCGTGAAAAAACACATGCGCATCGAAATTATCTCGATGACGTGCCCGGAAATGTCAAAACTCGTCGATTAAATGAAATAATTCAAACTTTTCATACAAATGCAAAAATTAAATTGAACGCTTTATTAGGTATTCCACAGTTAGTTTTAGTAGAAGGTATTTCAAATCGTCATAATGAAAGACTCAGAGGACGTACGGATGGAGGGCACAAAATCTATTTTGATAACGTTCGAGTACTAGAGAGCATAAACAATCAAATGTTGAATAGATCAGATAACTGTCACATGTTGAATATAGATAATCAAAAAATTGGTATTAAGATTGGGGATTACGTTATTGTCGTACCAACATCCACCACGGGTGCTACTTTATACGGTATACCCATAGCTAAAAGTTCCATAGCTCATTTTAGTAAGCTAAACTATAATGAGAAGAATATTAAATGATTTTCATGTTACATAATCGATATTCTAAGCAGTTACGTAATATATGCATTTATATGACGTTAAAAAAAAGGGTTTACCTAAAACCGGATCTAAAACCGGGTAATATTTCGCAATCCTAAAAATGGATAAATATATATGTATGAGTGATGCCAGAAAATAAACTGTCAATTTTCACCGCAGCCATAATACGTAATTTAATCAGTATCCTAGTCATTTTAGGATTAGAACAAATATCATAGTTTTCTGAATTTAAGTCTAGTATTACGTAGTGATGCGGAAGAATTGATGATCATTAATAATTTTAGCATATACAAACAAAATTGTATTGTAGAATTACCGTTACTAATACGTAATCAATTCTCTAACACTCGTGAAATAAATTCTCCTACGTACGTACGTACTAGTTTAGCAAATGTTTAAATTATTACAAGTTTTCCCTAGTGGCGTTCATATGTCATGTGGCGTTCATATGTCATTTACTGCGATCAAAATTTAGAGTCGGAATCTAACAATACCCAGCCAATTACATTATATAGTAAAATTATTATCTGTCAATAGAGCATATCTTTCTATATAGTTGCTGTACTTATTAGTCAAATGAAATAATGTATTTGATTTTATGTATAATTTTATAAAAAAAAAAAGGAATTTTAATTTATCGTCTTTCCGCATAATAGTGCCCATGAAGCGTTATTTTAAAATGACGTACAGTACGTACGTACATGGTGTCCATGCACTAGTGTTTCAAAATCAATTAATCGTTTAGCTGGTCAATAATTGAATAATAATTTCGCTCAAGTTATTAACCGGTTAAGTAATTAGTTAATCAATTACTCCGTTTACGTATCATCAGAATAGTAATGCCAAGTAAAAGCTCTAGTAAGCTTTTCCTGATATTCCAAATAAATTCTTTTTTCTCTAGTTCTCATCTAGTAACCTGACTAGCTAATCATGCACTTCCAGAAATCACACGCATATTTGGATTAATGTAAATTAGTCAATCATATGGGTGAGTACACAACAAAACCATGCTTAGAGTATATAGATTATATATACTCTAAGCATAGTTTTGCTATGTACTCACCCATATACGGTAAATGTCTTTCTGTGTTGGACGGTTGGCTTATATATCAAAATAACGCGCATACGCGTACGCGAAATAGTCAAAATAACGCGCATACCGTACTCGACATACTCAAACAACGTGCCCGGATTTTATTTAGAGTAATATTCAGGGTTAGAAAGGGTCATAATATATAGTATAAATTATGCAAGGAATATTTTTTGTTAAGACACAGTAGTTGGTTTCATAGCCATAATTTTGAGTTATTTTGATTTGAAATTTTTGGGTTTTGAATCGTGCAATCTGGTCTTTCACCGCCAGCGACAAATAGATTCGTCCAAGAATTTTATATCGCGCTTGTCATTGCACGTATAAAAACGCGCACTTATGAAGGAGTCTAACTGCAACATATACTCTAAATACATCATTAAATCAGAGTTGGTATAGACCGGTCAATAATCAAGCTTAAAAAATCTCCACCCAAGTCACCAGACGGGTGGGTCATATATCACCGGTGAAACCCGGGTCAACTAAAAAGTCTTACACACGGGCAACCGTGTAAAATTAGATGGATTAACTCAAAAATCTCTATTCCAAACTTTGTGACAACTTTGCATGTCTTCTATATTTGCTGACTGTTTATTATTTTAAAAACCTCCTGATAGAAGATATATACAAGTCCATGGGTAGTATTCTGCCATGGTGACAAATTTTGTTGTTAAAATAAGATTTTATTTGAATAGTTACATCCAGATTGTATGAAATTAGTCAATTGTAATTATTTTTTCAAACTTTTAATAAAGATATCTTGACAACTAACTGTTTAAAATTAATAATTTTTTATTTTAATAGTTTGGATTTATTATATTAAAATTAATACAAAAAAATTAAATTTAGTATTTTTTAAATTTATTATTTTAGGCTAGTTAATATTTTAAATATACAACTCTTTTCAATGATTTTTTGATCAACAAAAAAAAACCAAACTACAGCAAAATAATATAAAAAAGTAACAAAGCAGACACAACAATATTCTTGTATCATATAAACAAACTTGCTATTGATGAAGCATATATATATAAAACACTGAGAAGCAGGTGTATAACAAAAAGCAGGTTTTACTTTAGGTTAAACTTTTTTATAATTTTGGTATCTAAACCAAAAGAATATTTAGAAACAATATTATTGTAGGTTTCTAAACAAAAATATCAAGTAAAAATTAAGAAATTAAACTATATAAGGTTATACAAACTTAATAAATTAATTTTTATAACTCAGATGGGTGTAGCAACTTAGTAAAATAAAGTTGGTAAGTTATCACATCCCCAAGTAGCAGGACAAGAGTTCGAATCCCACTAGTGATGAAATTCAAATTTTACAAAATGTGTTATGGCCAGTGTTTAAAATCTATATATAGAATCTGTGGTGCGCAGATTGAAAATTAATCCCACAAGTGAAATTTTTTTTGAATCTGCAGATTTTATTATATATCATATATATCACACATCTATTTTTTGAATTTTTATTATGTTTATAAAAATTATTAAGTTTTCCGCATATTGAAAAAAATTGAATTTTAAATACTGGTTATAGCTAACTATGTATAATCTGACAGGTCAGTATCTGTAACCTTAGTTATACCAGCTTATACTGAGAGTATGCTAAATAGTAGTATAATACAAGAGTTACACAAAACTCAAGTGATGTATTCAGATAAATTTAGGGGATCAGGCATACAGAAGCCTGCTTAGCAAGTTCTAAATAGAGAAGTAGTACAGATCTTTAACAGTACTATATAAAGGATAATCATCAACAATCGGACTCAATAGCAAAACTGAATGAGGATCAGGTGTTTGGCAAAACACCATGCATACCTTGAATGTATGTCAGATTTGTAACGCAGATGTTCTGAACTATAAATCAGATTTCAAGATCAGGTGTAATGTAATATGATCAAGAAGATTCAAAACAAACGTTCATTTCATCAGAAATCGCCTATTTCTTGAAAATCTGTATAGAAAATCACCTTTAATGCTTTAACAAAAAGTTTTCACTAGACAATTTTATTATATAAACACTCCTTTTTAACCCTAATCTGAACCCTAACCCTAATATAAACAAACTTCGAAGAATTTTTTGCTGTATCACAAACCTGCTATACATTCAAGAAAAGCAAACATCACACTAACCAGGCTACATATATATGAAAAAAAGGATTTATCAGAATACTAGAGGATGTAAGTTCTTTCTAGGCCATCTGAATTGGGAGTTTGGAGATACTATCAGTGTGTTAGAAAAGTCAGTGATAGTCTATAAAGTGGGTACTGAGGTTTGGGTGAACTTCATAAAGACAAGAAGTAAATAGTGATAGTAGAGATAAAATGTTGCAAATACTTGGTTATAGTCTAGGCATAAGTTATCAAAAATCTAGTGTAAAATATGAACTGCTTTAGTAGATTTACTATAAAGATAAAGTAGTCTTAAAGGGCCTTAGCAGCAGTTTCTCTTTGATGAGAATATCCAACAATGCTAAGTTGATTAGAGGATTTAATTGGATAACTTAAATAATAATGGGTTATAGGTATAGCATCTAGTGTAAAACCTAATAATAGATAGATATTTAATTAGATGCTCAAAAGGTGCAGATATTATAACAAAGTCAGGTGTGACTTTGTAGCTGTTTTGACATTCACAACCAAAGTTAATAAATATACCAAACCCCAAAGTGGGCACCTTAACATTAAAAAAAAAATTTTTATAGTTCAGTCAAGTCAAATTTATAAATTTTTTAAAAAAAATTTTAAATATATATACTATTTGAGTAAGTTTTTTAAAAAAATTTATAAAAATTTTATATATATATTTTTTCTTTAACAATCTTATTTTATTTTATTGAGATTAAATGATTATTTATTATATAGCAAATATACAAAATTAGGTTTATAACAATCTCTTCTAAAAGTAAAACTTATTCAGATTTACTTTGTAGTAGCTATAGCTTTTACTTACAGTTTAATTACTAAATCACTATATAATACTTAAGTGTAATCTGCTTAGCAACTAAGTTGATCTCTTTTAAAAGTTCAAAACTTATTATAAACCTTTTCTTCTGAATTTTTTAGCTAGCTGTTGCTTATCCTATCAAGATTTCTACTTTACAATAGAATATTACTAAACTAATAACACTTTTTTATAGAGAAGAAAAAAAAAAGTAAATAAAAAATAAAAAAAAACAAAAAACAAAAACTGATATATTAATAAAAATGAGTACTAATACTAAGAAATAAAAACCTATATTAAAAATCTAAAAGAAACTATTGCTAAAAAAAGAAAACTTACTAATCAGATAAAAACTTTTAACTATACAAAGTAATAATCTACTATTTAGTATGAAAGTCTTAATAAAAAGCTAAACTAAAAATAAAACAAACTAAAATACATTATAACTTGTTGTAATATAGACAAATTTTATTAACATTTTTCTTATATATATATATATTTTTTTTTTTTAACTTTGGCAATCTTGCCAGTGATCCTTTATTAAGATTGTCTTGTTTTTTTTTTTTTTTTTTTAAGGTGAGGTTTTGCCTTTATCTTTATTTAATAATTTGTATTGAGAATTCACAAGGGGTTTCTCTGGCCAAAGCCAAATTTTACAAATTTTTACAAGAATAAAACTCAGACTATTTTATCTGCAACCTAAACCTACTAGAGTGGTTAAAACTCACCTAGATTTGATAATGTATAATATTA